GGAGCGGGGCTGGGAGCGGGGCTTGGAGCGGGGCTGGGAGCGGGGCTGGCGCTGAGCCGCGGCCGCCGTCCTCTCCGCAGCTTGGAATTCCACTCCAACTTGATCTCGGACGCGGTGAAGAAGGTGATCAAAGTCGGAAAAGTGAGTGCTGGGTGAGCCGTGCGCGTGCCGCGTCCTGTGCGGGAGAGCTGGTGGTGCAGCGCGGCGCCGCGTTGTCCCTTAGGGGCGGTGCCAACCTCTTGCCTTCCTTTCTCCACCCGAGGGACCGAATCAAAACCCTGTGTGTGTAGCTGTCGTGTAGAGCTGTAGTGAGCTGTAGCCAGCTGCAGTCAGCCCCTCTGCTTGTCTGGGTCTGCTGCCTTGGGATGCTCTAGCAGGGCTGGGGGACATCAGGTGGCCTCTTCGCGGCTTGCCCCCCTCTGGGCTCTGGCAGGGCGCACAGAGGGAAGCTGCTTTCCTCTCCTCTCCTGTCCTCTCCCTTCTCTCAGTGATTTTGCTCAGTTCACAATCACGTTTCTCCCTTGTTTCTCCCCTTCCCTCTGTTGGATTTTTAGGTACGGACGCGAGACTTGGGAGGTTACTGCACCACTTCTGACTTCGTCAAGTCTGTGATTGACAACCTGCACCCCCACTATGGTGCCTAGGAGCCCCACTCGCCCGAGGCGAGCCCTGGGACCTCACTGCGCCCTGCAGCGGCCTCCCCCACCGTAGTTTAAAGCCCCGCAGCCATTCCTTCCCCTTCCCTCGCCCTGGGCCTCGGGGGAGGACGGGGCTCTCCTCTTCCCCAGCCCAGTGCCCACCCGGAGCCCCGGTGGCCGCATCTCCCTTCTCCCCACAGCCGAGCGGTGCCAGAGGAGGTGGCAGCCCCCAGGCACATCCCAGGCAGGCAGCTCTGCACAGCAGCGGGACCCGGGGTCCTGCCGACGTCTTTCCGTGCCCCCAGAGGCTTTAGCAATAAATAGGACCCCAGGGCTCAGGCCCTGCGCTGGGGGTGTGCGAGGGCAGCTGTTGGCTTGGGCGGAGCATCCAGTGAGGCGCAGTGCTGCTGCAGCAAAGGGAGATGTGAGGTTTGCTCAGGAGCTGCCCAGGGTCGGCCCTGCGTCCTGTCCTTACGAACGGCTGCTTGCTGAAGGCTGTCAGCTCAGCCCCCCTTCCCAGGGCAGCAGCCGCTCGCAGCTCCCTGCCGCTCCTCCTGTGCCCAGCCATAGCAAGGTGGGGGTGAGCCTGTGCTGAGCCCTGCTGGCCTTGCAGGGGGATGAGGCTGCAGGAGCTCTTGCTGGGACCAAGGGAGGCTCTGCCCCACAGCTGCGTGTGTGAGCGAGCGTCCGGGACCCGCGTTTAACTACCTGTGCTTCGTGTTTTGTCTGCAAATAAATGGGTCCGGTGCTCCCCCCCACCCAGCACCCGGCCCGGGTGCCGTTTCCCCACAGCCCTGCTTGCTGCCTGCATCCCAAATCACCCCACCGGGGGCAGGGCCGGCCCTGGGCTGCAGCTGGGACGCAACGCCCTCCTGCAAGGAGCGCGCGGGGCAGCAGCCCGACGCTCCTCTCTTCCTTCAGCCGCCTCTTGGCGCAGCTGCTGGAAGCAGAGGAAGCTGCAGCCCTGCGTTCCGCTGGGGCAGGGGGCCGCGGTTGGGGTTCTGCAAGGCAGAGGGAGCGGCGGGGCTGAGCCGTAAGCAGGGGCAGAGATCCGGAGGGACGGCGCGCACGGAGCGGCACTCGCCCGACCGCGGAGGGGCAGAGGAACGGCCGCAGCCCGCGGCAGCTCAGCGCCTCTCCCTCGTCACTGACGCCGCCTTTTGTTGCAGGTGCGCACAGCAGACATGGGCGGATACGCCACGTGCCTGGATTTCACCCAAGCTGTCATTGGGGCCCTGGATGCGTAGGGCTGCTGCTCGGCCTCCGGCAGCCCTGCCGCTCCCGCTGCCTGCTCGGTAATTTATTGCTTCCCTGTAATAAAGCAGCCTCTGCAATGTAACGGTGCAGCGGGGGGGGGGGGGGGGGGGCGGCCGGGCCCCCCCAAAAAAATTAACCCAACCCCCCCCGCGGGCGACCGGCAGCCCCTCGTGGCTGCAGGAACGGAGCGCAGCACTGCCGTGTGCTCCAGCAGCCCCGTGCCGCTGTGGGGTGCAGTGCTGTTACCGGGCACCGCGCTGGGGGCTCCCACAGCCACCATTGGACTCCGTGAGGCCCAGCGGCGGCAGCAGCAGACAGGAGCGCAGCTCAACACCAACCCGAGCCCTTTATTGAGGCTCAGTCACACTGCACAGGCTGTCACCCTCTGGCAGCCACGGCCGGCTCGCAGCTGCAGCCCTGCAGGGCTCTGCAAGGCACCAGGAGCCCCGGCTGAGCGCAGCCACGAGGCGCAGAGCAGAGCTGCCAACGCCTGCAGTGCTGGGCACGAGGCTGCCGGCAATCGGACGGCGGGTTGAGGAGCTGCAGCCAAACCAAACCGGCCTCTGAGTCCGCAGTGCTGGAGCACGGCCCCGCTCCCACTGCCCCTGTCCTAATCCTCCTCCAAGTCCTTGGCCTTTTTCTTCTTCTTCTTCTCCAGGGGGGCGCCCTCTGCCAGCAGTTTCCTTTTCTTCTTGGGCAAGGCCTCTTCCTCCAGCCCGTTCTCCTCTGGCTCTGTGGCAGCTTCCTGCTCCTGCTCCTTCTTCTTCTTCTTCTTTTTCTTTGGCTCTATGTTGTTTTCCTAAGAGAAAACACACAGTGAGGGCCCAGCCTATGGAGCACAGAGACAAACGCTGGCTCCTTGCAACCAACCCAACAGTGTGCCCAGGTGGCCAGGAAGGGCAATGGCAGCCTGGCCTGCATCAGAAACAGCGCTGCCAGCAGAGCAGGGAGGTGATGGTGCCCCTGTACTGAGCACTGGTGAGGCCGCACCTCGAGGGCTGTGTCCACTTTTGGGCCCCTCACTGCAGTGAGGAAAGACATTTCCCCTGCAGGAAAGACATGGAGGGCCTGGAACGTGTTCAAAGGAGGGCAGTGAAATGGTGAGGGGTCTGGAGCACAGGGCTGAGGAGAGGCTGAAGGAGCTTGGAATGTTCAGTGTGAGAAGAGGAGCTGAGGGCAGAGCTCACTGCTCTCAATGGCTGCTGAAGGGAGGCTGCAGGGAGCTGGGGGGCGGCCTCTGCTCTGTGCCATCAGCGATGGGAGCAGAGGGAACGGCTTGAAGCTGCGGCAGGGGAGATTGAGGCTGGGCGTGAGGAAGAATTGCTGGTCAGCAAGGTGGGCAGCACTGCAATGGATGCCCAGGGAGGTGGGGGAGGCAGCGAGCCTGGGGGTGTTCAAAGCAAAGCTGGATGGGAGCTGTTGGCAATAGGTGAACAGTTGGACTGGGGGAGCTTTGAGGTCTTTTCCAACCTGGGTGATTCTATGATTCTATAACCCCCCCCCCAAGCTGGGTTGGGGCCCAAACATCCCCCAGCCCTGCAGGGCAGTGGGGCAAGAGCAGCAGACGCTGCTGAACAGCCCACTGCACAGCGAGGCCACCACCAACCCAGCCCCCAGGGCACTCGGAGCCTCTGCCCTCACCTCTGCCTCCTGCACTGAGTTCTCCATCTCCTCCGCAGCTGCAGCCAGAGCCTCCAGGCGCCGTTTCTCCCGCTTCTTCCTCTTCTTCTCCTTCTTTTCCTGCTTCCTTTTGACCTCAGCCACCACCTCGTTGGCCTGTGGGGAGCAGAGCAGCGCTCAGCACAGGGCCGGACTCCCACCCCCCCCCTTCCAGCACAGCCGTCGGATCAGCCTCATTAAATCAGCTTTTTGCCTCCACAGCAGGTCAGGTGGGCGCTTCACATCACGTCCGACTCGATGCCCGCCCAGCAGCCCCACCTCCCCGCAGCCTCACCTCCACCATGGCCTCCTTCATGACCTCCAGGTTCTTGCGGGGCGGCTCTCCGGTCTCATAGAACGCCAGCCGTTCCTCCACCTGCTCCCTCAGCTTGTCCCCAAAGACGCTGGTGGGAACCTCTGTGGGGACAGCTGGCCTCAGCCCCCCTCAGCCGCCCAGGCCCGGCGCCCACCTCCCCCATCCCAGCCTCCGCTCAGCCCGCAGAACTCAACATTCACTCTGTGAAATGCTGCTGACGAAAAATCTTCCCATCACAGCAGAGGCCGCTTCCCCTGCCCCCATCCCACCCCCATCCCGCCCCGATCCCAGCCCCACAGACCCGAGAAGCAGTCGATGCGGGAGGCGATGGTGCATTTGTTGGCCAGGTAGCGGGAGATGCGCCCTTTGTTCTTGGCGGCCGCGCGCCCGATGAAGGTGGAGTGGAAGATGAGGCCGTACTTGGGGGTGTTCCCTCGTGTCTTCAGAGCCCTGCCAGAAACCCAGCGCGCCATCGGGGGCAGACCGGGGCCGAGCTGCCGCCCCTCCACCCCGCAGGGCCGCTGCCCCGCTCCCCACCCTCTGACCTCACACAGCGCGAGCTGCTGGGCCGCGGCGGTCGCTCAGGGGCTGGGGCCGGCAGCTCACACGCGGCCGAGGCCGGAGCAGCCCGGCGCATCGCAGCCGGCAGCCCAGGGAGCCGCCATCACCGCGACCACCCTGCGGCGGTACCTGAACAGGGCTTTCTCAGCCCCCAGGATCTGCACCGTCGAGGCCGGGTACTTGGCCAGGTTCGTCAGGCTGCCGGCGTGGGAGATGAGGCGGGCGCCCACCTGCGAGGGGACGCGGGGTTACGGCTGCCCTCGGAGCACCGGGGCCACAGGGGGGGGTGGCAGGCAGCGCCCAGCCGGGATCAGCAATGAGGATTGTCAGCACAGCGGCTCAGTGGATTGACAGATTCGCTCAGACATCACTTCCACGGCCCGGGGGGGAGGGGAGAACGCACTCACTCACCACCTCCCCGATGAGGGCTGAGAGGCTGGGGGCCACCTGGCTCATCTTGGAGCGCAGGTACTCCTGCAGGCCCTTCCGGTACTCGGACAGAGAGATCACACGGCTGGAGAAGCTCTCGATGTTGATGAGGTCGATGGGGGAAATGTCCATCCCTGCGGAAAGCAGCGTCAGGGAGCCGAGCTCCGCCAGGAGCTCCACGGGCTGCGCAGAACCCCACTCACCCATGGAGGAGCGGGACGCCTCCAGGATGGCCTGAGCCTTGGCGCCATCCATGACGATCTCCTCCAGCCCCTCCAGGCTCTCCTCGCTCAGCTCCTTGCGGTTGCCGATGAATTTGGCCAGCCGGCAGTAGGTGTAGTTCTCAGACACGATCTTGATCAGCTCGGGGAAGTGGTACCCGTACCACTCGCTGCAGGACAGCATCAGCACAGGCGCTGCCCCCACACCGACCCCCCGCACCGACCCCACAGCCCCCCGGCCACCCGTGTCCCCCCGGTCACAATCCGGCCGCAGCACCGCCGCCCCAGCCGGGGTGTTACCGAGGCCGTGCTCTCCCTCCCCGTTCTTTGCAGGCGGTTGGAGACGCAGCCGCCCGCGGTAAGCGTGGGGAGGCCCCGCACCGCCACCCTGCCCAGCCCGGCCCCCCGCTCACCGCACGCGCATGGAGAAGGTGTTGATGTCCTTGTCCAGCTGGTCCAGCAGACTGATGGACTGGATGATCATGTTGTCCACGCGGTTCACGTTGAACTTCACCTTGGCCCGGGAGTAGCTGTGGCCGAGGCCGAGCTGAGCCTTGGAGGCTGACTGCGCCGTGAGGCCCTTCACCAGGGCATGGAAGTGCAGGCGGATCCCTGCAGGGGAACAAACCGTCACCGGCCCCATCCCCACCGCCATCCCCACCTCCACACGCAGCCCTGAGGCCCGCAACTCGGCTCACCCCGCAGGATCTCGGCCACCACGCCGCCGGTCTGGCACTGATAGCCCAACTCCTCCAGGATGGCGGCCCCGATTTTGGCGTCTCCCACGCCCAGCAGCGCCTTCTTCTTCTTGGCCGGCATCGACGTCTCCAGCAGCAGCCGCAGATCCTCGTGCAGGATCCCTGCGGGACGCGGAGCGGCGCTCAGCGGGGCGGGCCGGGAGCCGCACGGGGGAGCCGCGCGCCGCGCTCACCCTCGGAGACGGCGTTCATGTTCTCCAGGGCGCTCTGCGCGGATTTGAACGGGGAAAAGGCCACGAGCTTCACCACGTTGTGGAACTTGCCGACGGTGAGCACGCTCTCCTCCACCTGCGGCGGGACGCGGTCACGGCCCGGAGCGGCACGCGGGGCCGCCGCGCCCCCACCCTCACCCCCATCCCGGCCCGGCCCGTACCTGCGGCAGCAGCAAACCGATCTCCTCCACCTCCCGGACGGCGAACAGCGCGTACCCGGCGGCATGTTCGAACAGCACGTGCAGCAGCACCTGAGCGAGCGCCGCCGTCAGCGCGGGCCCGGGACGCCCGCCAGGCCCCGATCCGCGGCCGCTGCGACGAGGGCGGCCCCGATCCGATCCGATCCGCGCCCGCGGCCCCCCGGCCCTCTCCCG